GTGCTGGTAGGCTTGGTTTCTCCAGGGCCTCTCCCTGTTGCTTGTAGACATACGCTTTCTCACTGTGTTCTCACGTGGCCTTTTCTCTGTGTGTACTGGCATAATGTTTTCAAAGTCCATCTGTGGTGTAGCCTGTATCGTAACTCCTCTACATTGCCAAAATAGTCTACTGTATGAATATATCAGTGTTTATCCATTCACCAGCTGAAAGCACGTGGGTTGCTTCTACTTTTTAGGCTAGACTATGTAATACCGCTGTGAACGTTTGTGCACAAGCCTTTATGTGGACGTACCTTTTCATTTGTCTTGGGTAGATGCCTAGCAGTGTAACTGTTGAGTTACATGTTTAACCTATGATTACATTTAAGTCTGTGAGGAACTGCCATACTGTTTTCCAAAGTGGCTGCACCATTTAAAAATCCTGCCAGCAATATGTGAAGGTTGCAGCTGTTCCATCTCCTCATCCACACTTCTTATCGTCTGTCTTTTTTATTTAAGCCATCCTAGTAGATGTGAAGTGGTATCACTTTGTGGTTTTGATTTGCATGTTCCTGATGACTCATGATGTCCTTCACCTTTTTCGTATGCTTATAGGTCATTTATAGATCTTCTTTGGCAAAATATTTGTTCAGGTCCTTTGTCAATATTGTTTTTGTAGTGTGTGTGTGTGTGTGTGTGTGTGTGTGTGTGTGTGTGTGTGTGAGTGAGATGTGTTTGAGACTAGGTCTCACTGTGTCATCGTCCTTCTGCCTCAGCCTCTAGGCTGGGGCCACAGGTGCATACCTCTGTGCCCAGCTCTTTCAGGGCAGGTTTCACTATGTTGCCCACACTGACAGCAAGTTCATGGCCCTCTTGCCTCAGCCTCCAGAGCATCTGAGACTACAGGCATGTACCAACCATGCTCGACTTTCTAGGGTAGTCTGGGAACTAAGCCTTGGTCTCCCGCGTGGCTGGGCCCACCAATCAACAGCATCTAACACTTGCTGAGGCTAAGTCTCTGTCCATTTTTAATATTGGGCTATCTGTCTTTTTATTAGCCATAAATATTTTTTCAATGGAACCTCTAACTTGCACATTTTATCTATTACTGTGATCTCAGAATCATGTCATTTTTAATCTGGAAAGGATTGTAAAAATCGAAGTCTAACTTCCTCTATTAAGACATGAAGAAGAAGCTGAGGCTTAAAGTGGTTTGCCCATGGCCACGACAGAACTAGTGAATAGCAGAGCTGGGGAGATTAATGAGTCTATATTAAAAATGAAAAAGTGGATATTTCACAATTTTTATTTGAATAAAGCTCCTTTCCTGCAAAGAATAACCCTTTGGTTTCAAGATAATAGGGGCTAAGTGTGGGATCTGGAAGGAAAGGAGCTAGGAGACTTGCCTGGAGTTGGACTTGAACAGCAATAATATTGTTTTTATTTAAATCACTAGAAATAACAGTTTTCTGAGGATACTTTTAATCAGACTTTATATTAAAACCTTCTTTGAGTATGAAAAGCGACAGCAAGTCCTGGTGGTTCGTAACAACCTTTAGTGGGCATTCGCTCTTTCAGTGTCCATCAGAGTGGCTTTGAAGAGCTTTTAAAGAAAGAATCTACATGATCGGGACTTTGGATTTGATTGAGAACTACAACTATACTGGGAAATGTATCCACCCTTCCCACCCAAGGCAAAGAAGATTCTATTTTTCCCAATGAACTTAAAGTGGGGAGTTGGGGGTGGCATTTTAGAACAGTCGGTGTGCAGGCTTTCTACCTGAGGTTTGGCATGTGAGGAAGGTGAGAAGGGATTTTTGTCCATCATAAGTTCTAGTCTTCCTAGGAGATAACAGAAAATCAATGATAAAACTGTTCCAGTCATCAGTACAAAGTGTCAGTTCACAGGCCGGTTTTTTAACGCTATTAGCCTGAACAGTTTGCCCTTCGTAGTTTTTTCTAACAAAGAAGCATGTGATAAAGCCCATGTCCATGGTCTGCAGCATGTTTTCTGTTGTTTTATTTAAATATGAATTTTCCTGATGTAAGTAGATCTGTGTGCCCCTCATGATTTCATTGTCCTTAACTGTGATTGAAGTGGTAGTTCGCGGAGGAGATGGAATCACTGAAAGGACAAATCATGCTTTTAGATCAGATTTCTAGGCTGCCATGAGAAACAGCAGAAAAGTTTCACTCCCCGTCTGAGCTTCACAATGGGGGAGTCCTTGCTAAATGGGCAGTGTGACCAACTGAATTCCTGAGAAGATTAACACTGAGGTAGCCGCGGTGTAACACGCACACGTTTGTGGATATGTAGTTTGTATCTCTTTTTAAAAGAATTATTTTACTTAAATTCATTTTAATTTGACCAGAAAAGGACAGAGAGAGAGAGGGAAAGTGAAGAAAGCAAGCCACCAGGTCCAGGACACAAACCACAGTCAGCCTTGTGGGAGTCCAGAACCTTAACCACCACGTCGTCACCTGCTGACCCCTCACTGAGCCATTTTATCTAGTAGTAATTTTATGTCAGGACCTGCTCTTGACAAAATTTCCTTTTAAAATATGATGTTATATCATGAGCAACACTAGTAAAACAGGCAGTATTAATTTAATATCTTTTAAATGACATGCCCAGCAAAATATTTCCTGACAGAAGTAGGAGGGAGTGGAGAGGCGAATGCACTGGATATCAATGACTTTGGACGTCTGCCACCTGTCAGGCAGCAAGCCAGTCACTTCCACAACATAGCACTGGATCCACACACCTGGCCTACGAGGCCGATCATGGTTTTCCAGTTTTACTCATGAGGATGCCAGAGTAGCCAGTTAAGTAATGCCAAGGCCATGCAGTTCATGAGTGGAAAAATCAAGCTTCAGATACAGACTTTTTAACTATGATGTGACTACAGTTACCACCAGTTTTAAGATATTAGGATCCAAGGCCAGCAGGTGGTGTGGTGGTTATGGGCTCTGGACTCCCACATGGCCAACTACAGTTCGAGTCCTGGGCCTGGTGACTTGCTTCCTCACATTCCATCTCTCTCACTCTTTCTCTCTGTCCCTCTCTGGTCAAATTGAAATAAATTAAATTAAATAATTCTTTTTTAAAAAAAGATATTAGGACCCCATAGAAACGTTCATCTCATCTCACAGGGCCATGTCCTAACATTGAAACAGACCATCCACCTCTAGCTTCTACCTAGACTTCCACTGTATACACCTATATTTTAGCTTAACATATTCCCTAAGACTGATTCCAAATACTTAACTTTCCTCCTCCAAGAATTTTCTTTCTCTGTCCTCCTAGCCCCTATTCTTGCCTAAGAGCACCCTGGTCTGCTTTTACTGGGCTTTGCAGGTGCCTCTGCAGAAAGAGGGGAAGAAGAAAGAAGGAGAAAGTGAGAGGGAGGAGGAGGGAGGGGAGTGAGAGATAATGAGGCAAGAGAGATCCTTATTGATGCTATTCTGAATGGTGAATGAGAGCTCAAGGGAGAATCGGCCTCTCTAGCACCTATGGGTGAAGGAATCCCGAGACTGGGACTATCTGACGCGGAAGGTCAGAGATTCATGGTCATCTATCTTGTCCAGTCTCTTGTTTTATAGGTAACAGAACTGAGATCTGGAGAGAGAGGTGACTTATACAGGGCTACACAGCTGGCCACTGAGATGGAGATCAGTGTTGCCCGGCACAGGGATGTATAGCTCTGAAGGCACTTTCACGTTGTTCATTTCATTGCCTCACAGCAATCTGAGATCTACTTGTCCGATGTCACATGAGGGAACAGTTCCCTTTTTACTGCACCATTATAGAAGCCTGTAGGTTATAAAGACAAACCAATGCCTTCTAAAACTGATTTTGATTCTAAAATGAGTTTCCCAAATGAGGAAACTAGTTCAGAAAGGGAAATGATTGGCCCAGAATATCTTCACTTAACTAATGATAGAGCTAGACCTAGAATTCAGAACATTTTGTATAGTTTTTATTCAGAAAAAGGATCAGACAAGCCCATATGACTGGATGATCCACAATGGTAGAAATTAATTCAGTTTTAAAAATATTTTTTAGGGGGAGGGACTCAGGAAAAAACATTTAACAGACACAAGAATGCATGTAAATAAGGCATATAGTTTATGGAACAGTATATCACAACAGAGTAAAACCAAGGCGGGAGCATTGCCTCTCTCTCTCTCTCTCTCTCTCTCTATATATATATATATATAGAGAGAGAGAGAGATACATATATCTCTCTATATATATACTCAAAAGATCTCTAGTAAAGCAAAATCAAAGGTGCACAATATAATGTAATGTTCTTTGTTGAAGATGTGGAATGTGTCAATATCTTTGATTTGTTGATCACATACTGTGCACATGCTTTGAAAAACCACATTGTGCCCCACAAGCATGTACAACAATTGAGTATAAATAAGAAATTGTAAAAGAACTGAATAAAATGTGTGTACTTTGGGGGCTAGATGGTGGCACAGCGGTAGAACACAACCCTCTGCAAGGCAGACTCACATGGGAAGATACGGGTTCATATCCGGAGACCTCCCTCAGTGCTCTGAGCAGGCACATGCCTGTGATCTGGGGCTGGCTGAAGCTGGGGGTGTACCAAGGCAGCAGTGACTCTGTTGGAGTGCTGGCTACCTCTGTTGCTCATGGGAGAACTAACTAAATAAAAATTTTCAAAAAGAAAGAAGTATACTTGGATGGCATATTTAATCTTCAGAGTTAATAAGTTGTTATATATTCCTAATATTTTGAACCATTTTGAATCTACTAACATTATAAATACACTTTGGATTTTATTTAGATCATTTGGTATAAAAGGATATATAATATTTGTGAGGAAGACTTAGACTAGCAAAAATTTATAAACTAAGAAAAATCTGTATTACATGTATCTTTTTTGTGTGTGTAAACAAATTAAAGGTGAATACTTACTTTTTTGGAAAGATAACTTTAAAAAAAAGGTGAGAGGGCAATTTGAAAATAATACACTTTAAAAATTTGTTTTTCAGGATCTAGTTCAGGTTCAAAATTAAAAGGTCCTGAGCTGAGTTTAAAAGGCACCCAGCATGTCATGCAAGCAGGCCAGACACTGTATCTCAAGTGCAGGTAAGTGACCATTTGTTTGGGAATTATCTAGTGGTCTTTCCCAAGGCAGAATCATTCCTTGCAAGGGTAGAAAGGTTGCCTCTCAGAGTTAGAAATGCAGGGATGTCAGTGGTCTCCTGTACCCAGCTTCATATGCAAGATGATTCACCTGGAAGGGAAAGCATTACTCACAAGGGATGCCCAGAACAATTTTGCATCTTTCTTCTTCTGAGTACATTCCCCCAGGGGATACCTGAAAGCACAAAACCCAATATATACCATTGGGTTGTTGGAAAAGTCATGAAGCATTTTCGCATAGAAAAACATTAAAAAATACATTGTGACGTTTTGGCCAGCCCAATATGTTTTTTTTCTATACATACACACTTAGGATAAAGTTTAATTTATAATTTAGGCACAGAAAGTGATTAATAACAATAACTTAATAATAAAATAGAGCAATTCTAACAATATGCCAACATCACTACTCTTGCACTTCAGGCCCATGATAAGTAACATGGTAGTTACTTGGATGCGAGCACTGTGATAGGGCAACAGTGGATCTAATAACCCAGCTGGCTGCTAAGTGACTGATAGACAGTAGCATGTACAGTGTGAATATTGGACACAGCGATGATTCACATCCCATGTGGGACAGAGCAGGGCAGTGGAAGATTTCATCATACTAATCAGAATGGCACATAATTTAAAACTTATGAATTGCATGTTTCTGGGATTTTCCATTTCATATTTTCAGACCATCATTGACCATGGTAACTGAAACCATAGGTAAGGATAGGGGACCCCTGTGTTATTCAAAAGCTTTTCTGTATGTGTAACTTCTCCTTAAAGATGAAGATGACTACACCTAAGAAAGGATCTCAGAACAGTGCCTCCTAATAAAATGAATGTTTAGGAACAAGTGCTAAGCCTTGGCCCCAGTCATAATTGTTTTGGTTTCCTCTCTGTGATTGCAGGGGGGATGCAGCTCATTCATGGTCTTTGCCTGAGACAGTGAGTAAGGAAAGCAAAAGGCTGAGCATAACTAAATCTACCTGTGGAAGGAATGGCAAACAATTCTGCAGTACTTTGACCTTGAACATGGCTCAGACAAATCACACTGGCTTCTACACTTGCAACTATCTACATATACCTACGTCAAAGAAGAAGACGAAAACAGAATCTACAATCTATATATTTATTAGTGGTAAGATGTCCGCTTTTTGCATTCTGCTTGCTATGGCATAGTGAGGGTCATAAGTCTACCCTGGCCCATTGGAGAGATGACTTTCCTATTGATTATGAAAGAAAAGGCCAGGAAAGAGATTCTAGCCTCATCGTAGAAACTTATGGAATGCATTTGGTTTTCTTTATTCATGATACAGTGTGTGTACACACATGAGAAAAAGAGAGACAAAGAGAAAAAGAAAGAGATGAGCACCCTCTAAGGCATCAGGTCATACCACAATCCCACTCCTCCAGCCCCCCAGTCTATCAGATTTTGGGTGCTTGCACACATACCTGATGTATTTCAGGCTGACCAGGCCAAGGATTCAAACCGTGGTCGCCATGTGGGATCTGTCTTCTCTTGAGCAACACATTATCACCACATTGTGCCACAGAGCTGGCCTTACAATTCAGTTTTAATGATTTTTTTAATTGTAAATTTCTTACCAGAATTTTCAAGGCCCGGTCAGTTATGTCTATGTCCTATGAGGGAGCAGTGTCTTGTCTGTTTAGTTCACCACCTTCCTTGGAGCACCTAGAACAGGGTCTGATACCTAATTGAATTAATAAAAGAATGATAGGATTTTAGTTCTATTTCCTATTTATTAAGAAGACCAAAATAGAACACAAGACTTTTGTCCTTCAACACAACTGCATTCTCTTATATATTGGAATTTTTAAATACTGTGGATTTTTTTCTAAATTTACACTAATACATATAATATTGTTATTGTCCCAAGTGTCACAAAACTGGTTCTAGTTGACAATATTGTATTATTTTATGTTCCTTAAGCAAGTATTACAATGATGTAAGAGCTGGCATATACCATTGTATAGTGAAAGGGAAGTAGGTAAAAATAAATAATTTTTGGTTATAATTTTTATGGTGCTGTCTTTCCTTGCTTATAAAAATGAATGAATGAACTCATATTCAAAGGGAATAAAAATCCTGAAAGAACTATAAATTAACAAAAAAAATTAGTTTCTGAGAAAGAATAAGAAAAATGGCTTATCATTTTATTCTTCCTTGTTTAGTTCCAGCCAATTCCCAAAACTTGTTGAAGAGTTTGGAGAAGAAAAAAAAAAAAAAAACCCTAGAGACTATAAACAAAATAAATAGGCACCTCAAGCAGCACAAAATCAAGTTAAAAAACAAAACAATAGCATCGGTAGCTAAATGTACATTCTGGGGCTACCTCCTGGTGAGTTAAAGAATTGAGTCTTTGAATTGGAGGCAGTACAATTGAATTAATGTTTTGGTGGGACTCAATTTTTGAAATAAGGCAATTAGACAATGTATTACCCGAGCATAACGTAATTGTTTGGGTTCAGAATTAGTTTTGGGAGACAGTATAGCAATTGCATGATATTAACAGTAGCCTCTTTTAGCTATTATCAGCCTGATTTTGACAGCATTATTTTTATGTCCCTGCTTCTCCAAACTCTGTTCTGACATTTTGCATTATTCCAGGGGGGGCTTCAGGGGAATAAACATCCTGGCAGTTTGCTATTATAGGGATGCACTTAAACACAGGGTAGGATATAGGCTAGAAATTTTTGCTTGGGGAAGTCAGCCTACCTCTCTAGGAGAGAAGGAAGGGCAGGAAGCAGGAAATGAAGCAGGTGGAGAAGGTGCAGAATCAAGAACAGAGCCTTTCAAAGAGGTAATTTTGCAACTTAGGGGGAAAGAAGACAACATTTGGTAGTGGTGGAAAAATCATATGCTCAGCCATTTACTGTCTTTTTCTAGTTCCATGTGGCCTATTGTGCTCTTTCCAGCACTGTGGAGAAAGGAAAGCAGTTTGCAAGGGAAGACTCCTATCTCCTTAAGGAAGTGGAAGAACAATTCATTCATTCTAAAATTCTCACAAAACTTCCTCCTATGTATTATCAGAGTCTGGCTTATAAGCCAAACACTTCAATCAATGAAGGATCATCTTGTTGTTTTCCTAAAAAACAATGGTCATTTAATTTCACCTTTAACTCCCACACTACTCAGTAGATAGACACCATGGGTTACGGAGCCCATAGGTGGGGGAGTACAAAGCCTATTCATGCCAAACCCCTCTTGTTGTTTTCCTAAAAAACAATGGTCATTTAATTTCACCTTTAACTCCCACACTACTCAGTAGATAGATAGACACCATGGGTTAAGGAGCCCGTAGGTGGGGGAGTACAAAGCCTATTCATGTCAAACCCCTTTACCACAGAAAAGAAAAATCGCTATGTAGGATAATTTCCATCGCAACTGTACAACAGAGCAGTTTGGGCAAACACCATTACTTTGGAAGCTAAATCAACTGTTAAAGCCCACGAAGGCAAGGTCCATATCTGCCTTGATTATTTTTATCTGCAGTGTGCATCCCCAGTGCAGTGCTTGGCAATTGTTAGAATTCAGTATTTGTTAAGTGAATATATGAACTCATTAACAAGTGCTGTGTGAAATACTATATAAAAGTCCACGTTGAGGATGACTCAGTAAGGTTAGTGGGAAAAAGTGCCACTACTGACTTTTGATGTTTGTTACAAACCTCAGAAGGAAATGCAAGAGGTGGGAGGAGGTAGTGGCATGGTGCCATGTAGTTACCGTGTCTGCTCTCCTGTAATGGGACACAAACCTTAGCATGAAGTTGTAAGTTCCAATATCTCAAAACCCCTGCAGTTGGCTGTACACTAGGAAACTTACTTCAAAGCTTGTTCTTGGAGAAGGAAGACTTTTGAAGTGTGTATGTTTCATAGGTTATTTTTATTTTTTAAAGTTTATTCAGAATGAATAGAAAAAGAGAAAGCTAGGCACCCTCAACAGGGTCTCATGCTGTGACCCACCCACAGCCTTCCCAGCCAGCCAGGATGATAGGCAGGCATGCACGTACCTGGTGTGTATAAGTCAACCTGGGAGCTGAACCCCAGTCTTCCACATAGCCCATAGCTCTGCAGAATCCTTCCCTACCCCTGCAACACTTCAGCTGGGCCCCTAGGTTCTAATATGAAATGATACACACACACACACACACACACACACGCATGCACACACAGTGTTAAATGAGTTTATAGGAAAAATTGCTAAGACATATAATGAGACTTTTTTTTCCCTTTGGAAGAAAGTGAAAAATCACCCCCAGTGGATGGCCATGCCATAGTCCCTTCTCTTCTGCTTTACTCTTGGGATTTTGGCCATGCGTGCACACATGCTTGGTGTGGCTTTCAAGCTGCTGGGTCTGGGACTCAAACAGTGCAATTGGCTTCATGGGATCCAGCCGCCTTAACCTCCATACCCACTATCTGGCCCAAGACTGGATTGCTTTTAAATAGCACTAATAATAAAAGTTGTCTGAATTGATCATGGTGGCCATAGAAGAGCCTCCCAACCTTATTGGCTTGCTTGTTAATTTAGTCAGTGTCTTCGGGGAATGCTTATTCTGTGCCTGTAACATTTATTTCGTTGTTTGTGGCCGGACAGAGTGATATTAGTCTCATAATCACACCTTATGAAAGTCCAAGGTAGCTGTGATACAGCCCATTAACCAATGATAAGTTTTCCAAATAGCTACTTTATGGATTTCTGCCTTCATTACTTCATTAATTCTTTCTGAGAAAATTGGGTGTACTGTGTCATTTTTACTGAACACTTCCCTCACAGGTTGAGTTTAGTTCATGGGCACAAAGCTCATCTCAGATGACTCAGAGGATTTTCTTTGGGATTAATAAGACTCCAGCCATTTCCAAATACACAGCTGTGATTACTCACTCGATATTAGCTGGTTATCACTTATTTGTTATTGTTGAGTATTTACTTTAGAACATGTTATTCTGTTTGGAGGATTTCCCTGATAAGCATCTGCAGATGTGTTGGCATTTCATTGCAATTTTCTATAAAGATGAGAAATCCTGTTTAGCCACATCTTTTGAAAACACAGATATGTAGGTAGTCTGGACATGAGTATATAGCTTTGTCTCCATAGCACCTGACCCAGTATGTGAATTATGAACAAACTGGTCCTTAGACATTATCGATTGCCTGCTAACAGGAACAGTTTCCACCCAAGATTTGGATGTTTTATCAGATAGGTAGTGTACAGAAAAATCAATACTCCCACTTTATCACTACAGGTTATTTAAGTCTGCCAAACTCTGCACATAATACATTAGATCACATTAATTACTCAAGTGATAATATTTAACTCCTGTATTTAATTACTAAATCATCTGGTGAATTAAAATTTTAATTAATATAATAATTTGTTAATTTCATATGTTTCTTTTCAATTAAATTATTTTGTTTACATTATGCTGTTTAATCCTCACAATTATCCAATGAGGCATTATTCTCTTCATTTTGCAAGTGAAGGAGCAAGACTCCACTTCACATCAAAGCTGAGAAGGAATAGTAGAAAAGTGTTAGCAAGGGACCAGCAGTTGGCATAATGGCTATGTTGCTGGACTCACATGTAGTTGACTGTGGTTCGAGTCCCAGATCCAGTGGTTTAAACTCATGTCGGGCGCACGTGCATGTGCTCCCAAGATTCCAAGAGGAGAATGGAGGAGAAGGGATTGTGATGTGGCCATCCCCCTGGGGGGGAGGGTGATTTCTCACTTTCTGTCTGTCTGTCTCTCTCTGTCTTTCTGGCGAGCGCACGTGTCCTATAGCAAAAATCTCTCAAAAGAAAAAAGAAAAGTGTTAGCAGGAAAATAAGGTTGTCAGATATCCCCTTCAGATTCTCACTGGTGGAGAGATCAGAAGGGACAAGACTGAGGCAGAAAGACCAGGGATGTTGGGTGCATCAAGATGGGAGATACAGTGGCTTGAATTCATTGTAAAAGTGGTGGGGAAGAAGAGAGTTAATAGGTTAGAGGGATTCCATTGCCCTTGATGATCAGATGCTGGATGGGTGAGGGAAAGGAGGAGTCAAGGTGACACTCAGAATTTTGGAAGGAGAAGTTAGGCAACTCACTCCAGGTCCCATAGCCAGGTGGCATTTT